CCTAGCACAGAACAAGTTTTGAAAAATGGCAGTTATTATTATTATTATTATTAACTATCTTTAAAGCCATTTTCAGCTCTAACCTTTATGAAACTATTATAATATCTTAAACAGGAAGAAATCTCAAAATAAATTAGTTGAAAAATTAATTGAAATTTTCAGGGTATTTGAAAATGGAAGTAAAAGAATTTCCTAATGAAGAGACAGTCATCAAGAGAATTTGCAAATGATTAACACATATTTTCTCCTGTCATCAGGGAGCTCATAAAGGTACGAACCTGGGCTTGCTCCAATCAGCTGGAACCTGGGTCACTTGGGGAGTATGTGCCAGCTGGGCAGACCCTTGAGAAAGGGGTGTATGTGTAGCGTTTGTGCTCCAGGAGGGAGATTTGCATGATGTTTTGAAAGCCATGAAAGCCTTAGACCTATGGAGAAAGTGACATTGTTCTTGCAGGGAAGAGGGGCAAAGAGGGAAGGGGTGCTTTAAGAAGGGGGAACAGGATGGATGAAGGCCTGAAGCAAGAGGGTAAAGAGCAAGTTCAAGAAACCACAGTGAAGTTTACCTTTAAGTGGATTTTAAGGTTTTAGTTCTAGTGTCCTGTTGCCATCCCATTTTATGTCCTTCAAATATTCTTTGAGAAACTTTAACACAACAAAGGGCACTGTTAATTTTTTAATCCCTAACTTATGCCAGCAAAACTCACTCCCTAACTTTTTCTTTTAATCCTCACTCGAGGACATCCTTATTAACTTTAAGAGAGAGGGGAAGGGAAGGACAGGGAGAGAAGGAGAAACATTGATGTGACAGACAAACTTCTGTCAGTTGCCCCTCGGACGGACTTTCTCACAGGCACCCCGTGCCCCAACCAGGAACTGAACCCACAACTTGGCACATGCCCCGATTGGGAAAAGAATCCATAACCTGTCAGTTTATGGGACCATGTTCCAACTAATTGAGCCACACTGGCCATAGCACTCTCTAACTTTTTAAATTAGGTATTTCTGTCAGGATTTCTAAAAAGAAACAAACAACAATTTACTACCCGATGTCTGTTACTCTTTGCTCAAATATTCTCTTTGTACGTTTTTTTACTCTTTTTTTAAAAGATTTTATTCATTTATTTTTAGAGAGGGAATGGAAAGAGAAAGAGAGAGAGAGAGAGAAACATCAGTGTGTGGTTGCTGGGGGTCATGGCCTGCAACCCAGGCATATACCCTGACTGGGAATCGAACCTGCAACACTTTGGTTCTCGGCCTGTGTTCAATCCACTGAGCTACTCCAGCCAGGGCTTCTCTTTGTACTTTTTTAAAAAAGGATAACTTTATGAAGGTTATTGACTTTTTTACTTTTTTTTGGTTCTTGAATATGTATTTTTTACTGAAAAATTTTCAAAAATTAACATACAAAGTGTACAAACACATGAGTAAATAATGTCAAAGAACTATATTTGTGAAGTGTTTTTTTAAAACATGTTTAGATTTCAGTGAAAAATGTACCTCTGGCCACTCTTAACATACAGAGCAGCTCAAAACTACAGTGATGGAAATAAGCTAGCTACGTTCAGTGTCAACTTCCATGGTGAGTATCTTCACTTGGCTGTGCTCAGCAACTAATGTCTGTGGTAGAGAAGCTCTAACAAGAGTTCTGATAATGTCAAAAAAATATTTTTGCAAACAACCCTCCTCTCACCCCCAAAAAAGCAATGTAGAAAGAGAAACCTTTCCCTGTATGCAGAATCAAAGATAAGAATGATTTAAGGGGTCACTCATCAGTAGACTTAAAGAATTTCAGCTGCCAAAATATGCATAAGACCACATTTAGTTCTCACTGTTTGTTTTTTTTTTTAACATGAGAACTTCACACCACTGGCTGTATGTTTTTAACATTTTAGTTTACCACACAATACTCAGTGTGGTGGATAAACAACTAACAGTGCACAGTAAGAGATTTCACACTAATAAAACAAACACACACAATGGCAAGGTAATTTAAGTGACCCAACTTTAAGTGACCTTCCCTTTTTGTGCTCAGTTCACATTTCCTTTTTTAAATCAGGTGTTAGCCTTTTGCCAACATTTGGTTCTTGGTAAAGGCTATGGCCTTTTACTCCAATATGGCTCAGTAGTGCCCCCTGAGTTTAATTAATTCCACAAAAGTTTATTGAACAATGCCTAAGAAGACACAGCTCTGCCCTCATAGGGGTTGCCTGTTGGGGATGGGGAACAGACATTGGACAAGTGATCACACATGTAATGAAGGTTAAGAAGGAGCCATACAGGGCACTGTGGGGAGATGTAACAGCGGGTCCCAAAATAGTCTGGGGGGAACAGATCAGGGAAGGCCTCCCTTGACTGAGCGAGCAATGTTAAAGCTGAGTTTTGAGGAACAAGAAGTTTGCTAAGTGAATGGGGGAGAAGAGCAATCCTGGATGGGGGAGCAGCACAGGAAAAGGCCCAAAGACTGGGGAAAGAATGAAGAATATCAAAATAGTTCTTTGACATTACATTATTTGAAGAATGAAGGAACTGAACAGTGTGGCTACAATATACAGATGGTTGAAAATGGAGTTAGAAAGGTAAATGAAAGCCAAAACATACAGGACTTTGTAGTTTATAGTAAGGACTTGGGCCTTTATCCAGAGATAAATGGGGAGCCAATGACAGTTTTAGGTAGGGGGAAAGATAAGATGAAATTTTAGGCATCACACCCTGGTTGTTGGGAAAACACATTAGAGGGGCAACGGTGGGGGTGGTGAGGCTACTGAGGAGGCTACTGATACCACTGAGCAAGAATTGGTGTCTTGGGCTGGAGCAGCCCCCTTTGCCCTTGACCTGGGAAGCCTGGTGTCTGCAGCTTTGTCTCACCTACATGCAGACTTGGGAGACCAAGCAATCCTTCAGCTAGTGTTCCATTCAAGGCATTCACTGTCTCCCAACCCATTTTCTCTGAAGAATGGAGTGTGTGTGTGTGTACACACTCCTTGTTTCCTGGAAATTCCCTTAATGTCAGTAGCTTCTCCGAATCCTAAAGCCTGGAGCTACTGGGACCAGTGTCTTGTGGCATGAGGTTACCCATTCCTCCTTCAGGATGTAACCTGTGGGTAACAGATATGGGAGTGCTGGCTTGTTGTAACCTCTGCCGTCTGGACCATGTTGCGGGGGGAGCTCTGATAGGGACACGTGGCAGCCGATGCAGGGGTGAATCTTCTCAGTGGCTCTGCCCTTCCTCATACCCACCTGGCTGGGTAGAGGGATATGACCTCTAATTTGTCTCTCTTTGCTTTTCAGGTTTAGAACTGCCCTTTATACTTCCTTCTCCAGCCCAAGGGAGAGACGGGAGCCAGGGCTGCTGCCTTGGAGGTGCTCCCTTCACCCCCAATGCCACAGGGACAGGATGAGGGGTGAGGGCGGGGTATTTCTGTGTTCAAGGCAGGAAGGGGCTGTTGATGAAGAAGAGAAAATAGCCAGGACTGGAAGAAGGGGCATCTTTATTTCTCAAAGCTCACTTGCCAAAATACTTACTGTGTGAATGATAAAGAGGTAGAAGGCAAAAATTCATTCTAAATAATTAAATGAGAGCCATACATATCTAAACTCTTAAAGTAGCCTACCCTTTAAAAAAGGGTTTTATTTATTTTTAAGGAGGGAGAAAGAGAGTGAGAGAAACATCAATATGTGATTGTCTCTTATACCCTCCCCACTGGGGACTTGGCATGGAACCCAGGCATGTGCCCTGACTGGGTATAGAACCAGCAACCTTTTTGTTCACAGGCCTGCGCTCAATCCACTGAACCACACCAGCCAGGTGGCCTACCCTTTCATGGAGCAAATCCTATTAATAAAATACAGCCTCCATTTGTGGAGGGCTTGCTAAGTAACAGGCATGTGGCATTTTACATGTATTATCTTACTAAAACTTCACCTATGACGTTGATTCTCTTATTATCCCCATTTCACACATAAGGAAACTGAAGGTAAGTGACCTGCTCCATGTCCCACAGCTAGTGGGTGGTGCAGACTATGGCTCCAAAGTGAGCCTGTCCCCTACACCACTCTAAACCTCTTCTCACTAAGGAGGTCCAGGACAGCAAATTCAAAATCTGGTCCTCAATGAATAATTAATGAAAGGAAAATCTGGCCTCAGTCACCTGGGACCTGTTAAGTATGCAGGTTCCTGGGCTGTGACCCAGACCTCCTGAGACAGACTCTGTGTGGGGGGCGGGGGAGGGAGCTGGGACCTGAGCATCAGCATGGTAATAGGTACCCTGAGTTCCTGGTGCACACAAACTTCAAATCCTCTGAACAAAGCCAAAGTTGAAAGAGTGCAGACAACCAGCATGCACTCTCCAAAGGGCCATGGGAGCTCCTTCCAGGCCAGGTGGTCCTGGGAGACTGGAGGATGTTTGCAGCGCCTTTAGCTGTGGCCAGTGAGAAGACCCACTCTGTCCCCTCTTGCCCAGCAAAATGCCCATGGCTCAGGTAATCTACTCTGTGCGGGGACAGAGGGATGTCTTGTTACTGAGGAGGCCACAGGGTGGCAGGACCAGGTCAGAGTCATGGACAGGCTCACTTAGTGCCCAGTTCACTTCCCCTGCCCCCGCCCCGTCCCCTACCACCCAGCACAGGACTCTTGTCACAGCCATGCTGCTGGCCTTTGGGGCACAAGGATGACCTCTCCTCTAAAAGAAGTTCATTTGTAAACTACCTACTTGACTGCTTTGGACCTCAGAAACTGGACATTGTCCGGGACAGCCCTTCTCTGAAAAGGGGTGACAGAAGCTTTACAGCTTTGCTACCTCCCCTGCCTGGGCCAACGAGACCTCTGAGGTTAACTGGATGTGTGGGGCAAATGGTTTTCCCTGCTTAAGCTGGGCCTGTTGATTTTATTCCCTCAGATGTTACCAAATTTCAAAAATCAAGCTTATGGTCAATATTTTTATATAGAAAGCCATGTTGTCCCTTACATGTTAAAGGAAATAAGCAAAGAGTGGAAACATGTCCATAGTATGCTATTTTCTATATTTTTCATGGTTACATATGGTGCTTATTTATGTACAGAATCTGGAAGAACACATAAGCTGGAAAGAGGTCAGAGTCATGGACAGGCTCACTTAGTGCCCAGTTCACTTCCCCTTCCCCTGCCCCATCCCCTACCACCCAGCACAGGACTCTTGTCACAGCCATGCTGCTGGCCTTTGGGGCACAAGGATGACTTCTCCTCTAAAAGAAGCTTCTGAGACAGAAAAGAAGGGGCTGGGGTCGGGGTTCCTTGTCTCTGCTCATTCTCTGGTGCTGCTCGCATAGTTAGCCATGTTCACGTACTGCTTGAACAAAGAAACAATATAAGGGAAACCAAACAGAAGTGGTCACCATACAGGACACAGGTAACATGTTGCCATGCTGCTAGACCCCTCTGCAACTCTTTGGTCACAGAAATATAATAAAATCCTCGAGTCCTTGCCATCCAACTGGGTCTTTGATCCACAACGTCCACCAAGGAGCCCTGAGAGTGGCCTTGGTGACAAATGCAATGCAGTGAGTATTACAATAGAGGTATGGCATACATGAGGGCCAGGGCACCTAGCCCAGACTCGTGGATGGGACAGGGCACGTGAGTGCAGGGAAGAGGCAGTCCTGCTGGTCAAGGAGCACAAGTTGGGATGTGGATGAGTCTGACATGATATGCCAGATATAGAGACCTTCGCAGGTATGCAAAATCTCTGGGCTCTCTCCAAATGGTGATGGGGTTTATAAGCAGGGGTAGGAATGAGGGTGGCCTGTGGTCAGAATAAAATTTCAAAGAAAGACACCAGTGGTTCCTGGGCTGGCTGAGTTGGAGGGCAATTCAGAGGCAGGTGACCAGGTGGGAGAGGCCTTCATCCTTCCTCCCTGTGAGACGTGATGATGGCATGACCTCAGACAACAGCCAGGTTCCCCAAACAGTAAATTGCCCAAATCATGGGGTTCTGTTGGGGCCTTGGCATTTCTGGTCATTTCCCACGGGACAGGATCCCTCATGAAGACTGAAAACTAATGTTCTTTCCTCTCCCGCAGCTTCTCTACGGGAGCCGAGTATTGGTCATGACAGGGGGTGGGCCTCTAGCTCAGGATGTGAAGACCCTTCTTTCGGACTGCAAAAGCCCCAGTTTCCTTTTGGGAGTTTTGGGGGAGGTACAAGCCCATGTGGGATAATAGAAGGTTCTCCTCCCAATTGGCTCAAGTTGAGAAATGAAAGCGGTGGGACCAGTCTTGTTTCTTGGATGCAAGGAGCAGTTCAAACCTGTTAGAGCTATTTTACTTAGAGGTGAGAATGGTTAACAAAATGGTGCCCTTGTATCTAGGTGCGGCGGGCCTTGCTTTTCTTCCTTGAAAAGACAGATTTTTTGCTGTTGGTAGAGACCTTTGAAGATTGTAGTTTAAATTCAACTGGAAAGTGGTCACTGACTTCCAGGGCCTATAAGGATAAAAGAGATAAATTTGAGAATTAGAAAACACTCTCATTTTAGTGATGAGCAAATTCAGGATCCAGAAGAGAAGATGAAATGTCCACAGTCACAAAAGAACACACACTGGTGAGCAACATCCTCGGACCAGCTCACTTAGAAGTTTAAGCTGGTCCTCAAATCACAGAATCAGGCATTGAGACTTAAGACCCAGTGGTTCAATGTTGTGTCTCTGGTAGTGGCCTTAAAGGGTAACACAACCCATCTTCCCAGGATAGTGGCATAGAAAGACAAGATGGTAGCCATACCTCCTCTTCAGTTAACTTATAAGCTTTCTGGAAGTCAAAGATGCCACTTGATTTGGGCACAACAGAGCTGATGATCTCTTGTCCTCTCAGCACAATCCTACAGAAGAGGAGGGGAGACAGTCATGTTAAGCCATCCAGATGGTTTCTGAGATCAAACCAAGGTCCATGTTTGACATCTGAAATTGACTGAGCATCCCGGACCTTTCATGTGGTGCTCAAGCCCAGACCTGGTTTTAGCTTGTGACCCTTAGGACACTGCCTAAGACTGGGAAATAGGGTCAGCTCCTGCTGTGGCCCTGTGGACACCAGGACAGCATGTCCCTGTGTGGTCAGGTGGCCCTGGTGGTAGAAGAGAAGCCTTTGTGTGACACATGGACATCACACCACAGAGCAATATCCTGCATTCTAAGATTATTAGTTCCTGTGCAATTATTTTTCACTTTTCCTGATTCAATTGTGGAGAAAGGTGCTAGCTTGTCTTTAAAACTCCATAAGCTCCCATTTTGACCGAGAGAGAGCAGGCTGCAACTGCCAAACATTCTAGAGGCAAGAGAATTAAGGCAGAATTCACGTTGTTTGGTTTTCACTGGGATTATTTTTACAGTTGTTTTCAATTTATGGCAAATGATGCTGTTTCTCATTATAGTACTATGAAGTTTCCTTTAAAATTAATTTATTTCAGTAAGAAATGAATGAATGTAATGACAAATATGGAGAAAAACCATAGCACAACTGCTTTGCAGCAATGACAAAAAATGGGTACGTGGTAGTTCACTGAGTTTCAGAAACATGGGAACTCCAATGGACACCAAGTGGGGTGATGTAGTTGGGGTCTACATGGCCCCCACAGACTGACTGAAGAACCACAGGATGACTCAGACTGCCAGGCCATGACCATCCACTGAGCTTTCCCTGATTCTGACTGGCTGTCTAGCTTCCTGGGCTGGTTAACAACATCACATGGTTAACTCTGAATTCGCTCCACAAGTATACTCTACACATGCGATTGGAGATTTTTTGAAGCCATCCTTTCAGACCCAGAGAGTCCAGAAGGACAGACTTAAGGCTCCCCGTTTTCTGACTTCTAGGTATGTGCGTGGCCGGCCAGCTGATTGTGCTAATCTCTCCCTAGCCCAGACCAGTGCACGGGACACGTTCAAGAGATATTTGAATTCAGAGCAAAGACTGGCATTGAGTCCATTTCATCTTACTCCCTTCATTAAATATTTATATGCCTTTTTTTTAAAACCACAAAGATATATGCTATGAAGGAAAACATAGAAAACTGAGAGCAGCAAAATAACAAATTAAGCTTTAAAAAAACCACAGGGCATCCTGCCATCCTTTGGCATACATGTGTATAACACTGGGGTTCTAGTAAACACCTTATTCTAACCTGTCCACCTACCCCACCTAATCCATGTGAAAACCTACCCCTGTGATTCCCTGGGCTTCCACTTCAGTATTTGCAGTTGGCTCCCTCTTGTGGGCCAGGGGAGAAGAATGTGGCCACAGAAGGGACCTGACCTACCCAAGGCGACACAACTGGCATGCACTTTGCTAGCAGCCCTTCAAACTGGAGGGAGGTGGCAGGGAACTCAGGCTCCTGGAACTCCCCACCTTGACTCTGCCTTCCCCAATGCTGGGGCTGTTTCCACTTTCGAGAGCTGCAGTGGTGGCTCCTGCGATGGACACACCAGCTCTGAAAGCTTAAGAGGAACAAAGGAGGTCATGGGATGAAAATGGAAGCCAGACCTCAAACTAGAGAAGTAAGAACAACTGTTGTCTTGCAGATGGCCATCTCATGCCTCCTCGGCGGCAGGCTGAGCCCTGGGAAAGGAAGCTCTGAGGGGATTCCCTGCCTGTGGTCTCCGCTATGAATGGCAAGTCACGGGCATTCATAGTTTTCAGGTGCTCTCACCACCTCCCTCCCAACTTCAGGAGCAAAAATGAAAGCTGATTGAAAATCTCCAGAGATTTTACAAATACAAGAGCATGCTATTATTTAAATATATGTTTTTGCATTAGGAAAGTGCAGCAAATGCTTTAGAAGTGTAAACAACCCTTGCTTTAACTGGTCTCATTTTTAGAGTTTAACCTTAAGGAAATCATAAGTATATGCATAAAATGAGTACATAAAATCAGAAATGTTTAAATAACTAACCCTTGGTAACATAATAACCTAGTGTCCAATCCTAAGGCCCAGTGACAGGGGATTGAGTGAGTAAACTATGGCATGTCTTTGTGATGGAATAATTAATAGGAATGAATGTACTGAGCACTTATATGGCAGGCATTGCATTATAAGATTTACATATGCTACTTCATTTAATTCTCATCATACATCCATGAGTGAAGCCTTACTATAATCTCCATTTCATAAGTGAGAAAACAGAGGCACATGTCTCTCAGTCACAGACAGTAAGGGGTAGAGCCAGGATTTGAACCCAGGGGTGTCTGACACCGAAGCCCACGATTGCCGCTGCTGAACTACTGTACCCGGTCCATGCAATTTGTGTACTGTACAAAGCACTAGGCAGAGAGGTCTGAACTCTGACTGTTCTCCAGCCCAACTTTCTCATTTGACCACAGGGACACCTTTTCTGACGCAGACTAAGCACGCCATCAGGCAGATGCCTCTCACCTGTCATATGCACAGTTGGTGCTCATCTTGACAGTGGTGTCCTCTTGGTCCCCGATCAGCCAAATGAACTTAGGGTCGGTCCTCAGGCGGATGTTATTCCAGGCCTTCTTGGAGACATAGTTGCAGCCTGCATTGAAGTCACCCATGAAAATGAAATTCTGAAAGACATGATTTGGAGCATCAGTCACCTGGTGGGCACTGTTGCCAAACTCTTTCACTCTTAACTGCTGGGAATGACGGCATCTCCCATGCCCAGATGGGTTCTGTTATGGGCTAAATTGTGTCTCTTCGCCAAATTCACATTTTGAAGTCCTAAACCTAGTACCTTAGAATGTGACTGAATTTGGAAAGGGAACCTTTAAAGAGGTAATTAAGATAAAAAGGAGATATTGTGGGTGGGCCCTAATCCAGTATGACTGGTGTCATCAAAAAGAAGAGATTAGGACACAGAGGGAAGACCGAGGAAGGCGAGAGGCCTCAGGAGAAACCAGTCCTGCTGATACCTTAATCTTGAACACTGAGCCTCCAGAACTGGGAGGAAATAAACTTGTGTTGTTTAAGCCACCCAGTCTTGGGTATTTTGCTATGGCAGCCCTAGCAAACTAATATAAGGTCTTTCTTAATTTCTTTTTGCTTTTTAAAAGAAGCAGCCATGGTTTAAAATTGAGTCACAGCTTTGATTAGTGTTTGACGGGTGAGTGTGTACAAAGGAGGGCGTTCCTAACAGGAAGGGGGATGTTTGCTATAGTTGCTCCCTCCTGTTCTTAGTCACCACATCTCTATAATTCAGCATGCAGAGGCAGATGGGGAGAAAAGAAGCTGGCTAATGTAGTCCCTCACATCTTTTGTCTCTGGCTCAAACATATGAATGAATCAACACCTTTTGTTTCCAAGCAGGAAAAATGAACTTGGGTGGTGTATATGACAGCTTTGGCACAGCTCTCTCTCTCTCCCTCCTATTGTCTTGAAGTTGGGGATTTATTCCTGTAGAAATTCTGTCTCTTGAGGAAGTGGGAAAAACCTTAGGTCACCAACAGAACCATTTTATCTTGGAAGTGTTTTTCCCTGAAGGGCTCTTGGAACAGAACCTTAATATTCCTCAGTCCAGAGGAAGTGCCAGATTTCCTTGTTTGTACTATTGCTTGGGGCTGTTGCTGACTTTAGAGTTTTCTTTAAAAACATTTTATTTTGACCTCAGTGATTGTGGTTTTCCCTGACATCAATGGGCGTAGTAGAGGACAGGATGTCATCCTTAACCCTAGAGACTACCAGCTTCAACGAATATAGGCACAATTTAGCCCTGACTTGTGTGCTTCAGTTGGCTGGGCATCATCCCACAGAGTGAGAGGTTGCTGCTCTGATTCCCCATCAGGGCACATGCTTGGGTTGTGGGTTTGGTCCCCAGTTGGGGCTGCCCAAGAGGCAGCTGATTGATGTTGATCAATGTTTCTCTTCCTTTCTTTCTCCCTCCCTTCCTCTGTCTCTACATATAAATAAACAAAATCTTATTATAAATAAAATCTTTTTATAAGGCATGATTTGCTGAGCATTCATTGTGTGCCAAGTCCAGCACTAAGTGTTTTGTAGTTTCAGTATCACAAACAGTAGGAGGCAGAAGGACATTTAGCCCCTCTAGGAACAGGGGCAAGGGCCTGCTCTACACCACTCGGCTGGGAGGCTCAAGTGGTCAGGTCAAGAAATGAACCCTGATCTGCCTCACTGAAGGCCTCTTAGCGTGAATTTCCACTCTTGTTCATTTTGGCGCCCCTGATGCCTCCCTAGTGTCCAATGCTTAACAGATTCTAAATAAATTCTTGTTGAATAAATGAATTAATTCATAATTTTAGGAAAGAATGAATGAGCCTTTCTCTTGACCTGATCTTTCCAAACAAGCAGTGAAGCATGCCCCCTGCGTTCTCCCCACCCCAGCTCTGAGTCCACTCTTCATTTGACTCATTTTGCACTTTCAGCAGTGGACTGAGAAGGAAGATGGAGGCATTACTGGAGTCACATCCCAAAAGGAGAAAAGAAGAATGTGGAGGAGCCCTCTAGAGCAGGGGTCCCCAACCCGGGGCCTGTGGACTGGTACTTGTCCGAGGCCTGTTAGGAACAGGGCCGCACAGTAGGAGGTGAGCACTGACAAGCAGCCAAGGTTGGCATTACCACCTGAGCTCTGCTTCCTGTCCAACCCCCATCCCCCAAACCGTAGAAAAATTGTCTTCCACAAAATCAGTCCCTGGTGCCAAAAGGGTTGGGGCCACTGCTCTCAAGCACTTCCATACTAACCAAGCACTTTCACAGACCCCCACAGCCACAGGTGGTGGCATCCCTGTTTTCCAGATGAGGAAGTAGTTGAAGCAGAAGGGATGGTAGACGTATCCCCCTTCTGTGGGAATAGCAAGCTTAGATTGGGAAACCACCACCCTATTCCCCTCAGTCCGGTGGGGCTGGAGGGGTGAATCAGACACAGATTTAGCCAATCAGAGCATCTCAACCTCCTGATCACAGTGATTGTTTCAGGATGGACAAGTGCCCCAGTCAGCGCCAGTAAGACTCACTCCCAGGATATTCGTTGCACTGTGGGAAAAAAATTGATCATTTGGTCTAGAAGCTGCTGGCGGCCATCTTTCCACTGCAAGGGTAGAGCCAGCCTGCAAATGGAGCCCACCCCAAGGAAAGGAGGGCCAAGGGGTGGCCCCGATAACGCTGAGACCTGGATCCGCGGCACCTGAACTGCTCCTGGGCTTTTCAGTTACAAGAACCAATAAACAACTTCTCCTTTTCGAAGCCAGTTTGAGATTCTGTCACTTGCTTCTGAAAGACTTCTGACCTCTTTGTGAGTCACTGTTCTCAACTGCAAAGTGAGGGTGATAAAAGTAGCTGCCTCGCAGGTTGTTGGGAGGATTTAATAAACTTGTCCAGTCCAGCCTCATCACAGTGCCTGGCACCAGCTCTCCCCTCTGTGAATATTGGCAGTCATTGCTAGTGCAGTGGGGTGTGAATTCCCTAGACCCACATGGATGGTGCCCAGGCAGATTTAACGAGAAGGATATTTAGGGCTGAGGGAAGGCCTGAAATGAGGCTCAAAAGTGGTGGTGTCTGCACATGCTCTGTCCCCTTCACCCTCCCGGGAAGTCCTTCCCTCTCAAGGACCAGGTTCTGCCCCTGCTAGAGGGGAATTCAGCGGATACAGGGGGTCATCACCTCTGCCTTCCAACGGTGTTTCGCATCCATGTAGACATCGGCCAGCTCATCAATCTCTTTAACGGATGTCTCGGGCGTGGTGTGCAGGGGGATAATCACAAAGTCCTTGACAGCTGGGGAACAGGAAAGAGGCAGAGGTCACACACTTTCCCTGGCAATGTTCCAGGAACACTGCTCGAAGCAAACAGGCCGGCCTCCCAGAAGGCATGGATTGTGTCGTCTGGGTCCCCCCATTTCCAGAGGGTCCAGCCAGTGGCTGAGATTTGAGTGATCTTAGGATCATGAGGCAGCTATTTTCAGCACATGAAAGCCTCTTTTCTCCCATTCGTCTTTCATGGCTAAGGAAAAGCTGGCAGACGGTGTTCCTTGCTGGCATTGTGGGTGTTTCTATTTTCTCATTTTTTGAAAAATGATTCTCTATTCTTTTTTTAAAAAGCTGTTTGGTTTTTGTACTTAGGGAAAAAATACTTTTTTAATAAAAAAATCGGAAGCATGTCAGTTTATACTCCTTTTGTAATTAGGGAAGCAAAAGCCGAAAAAAGTTATTTAAAAAAAATAAAGTGGATTTTGTGGAGTGTCTAAAAGGCTCCCTCAGCAGGCCCAGCAGGAGGGATGGAGAGAGCCCGCGTGAGGGCGTGTGGGTGAGCCACGGTGCCAGGCCTTTCCCATTTGCTAATAGCAGCAGCTGTGGCTTTCTGCACGCCTCCTCCTCAGGTTTTCCCTCACTCGGTGCCTGGGTCACCACTCCCATGCAGGAGCTGAGTGCTGCTGGGTGTCACAGTGGGGAGCCAGGCCTCAGACCTGGCAGCCTGTCTCCAGAACACGGATCCAGCAGCCTCATCTCCCACTCTCCTCCTCACGCCTCCACTCCACTCCGCACCTACTTTTTTGTTTCCCTCACTCCCAACCCCTTCCCACCTCTGAACTTGAGTGCTTACTGTGCCCTCCCTCTAGAATGCCCTTTCCCCAGTTCTCTCTGACTTGGTTTCTTCAGGTCACAGCCTAATGTCACCTCCCAGGAGCCATCCCTGGCCCTTCCCCACCCCCATTTAATGTGGGCCCCTCACCCTGCTAGTCAGTGCATGTTGCTTATTTCCTTCATGCTCTGAAATTACTTGTTTTACTTCTTTGTTTGGTCCAGTGGAACCCTGTGTTGTGAAGGCAGGCTCATCTGTCCCATTCACCCTCTTGGCTCCAGTATCTAGCACAGCACCTGACACACTGGAGATGCTAAAAATTGTTTGTTGACTGACTGACTGAATGAATGAACAAAAATATATATAAATAGCTAACTCCTTCATCTTTAATCCTAGACACAGAGGACATAAGGAGCTGTCCTCAAACAAGAGAGAAAACTAAACAGGGCATGGCTGAGGTGTCATCCCAAAGGAGAGAGGGAGGGGTAGGGAAGAGTGGAAGTGTGGAAGCTCAATACAAATAGGTTTGGTAGCAATTCACATAAGCTGAGGACTCTCTTGGAGAAGAAACAATCATTAAGGGAATGTGGTGGCGCTCTGAACGCTGCCCTGGTCAGCCAGGTGTGAATTGTGTGTGTCACAAAGAGGATTATTGCACATGCTCTCAAGGGCATATCTTGCTTTCAATAGCCTCCACCTCCTTCTCTTTTCCTACTCATAATTGTCCTATTCTCCTGTTTGTCAACACTCTGCCTCTGAGTTAACTAACCCAGGGGAGAACTAGTTTAGGGTGTTTATATTTGTAGTTACAGATGCACACATGTATAGCTTTGCATGTATTTGTTTGGTCATTAGCTGCCTCTCCTACAAAGTCATAGCTTCACAAGGACAGCAACCCTGTCTGTCCCATCCAGTGCCCAGAACAGAGCCTGACATGTAGTTGGTACTGAAAATATATTTGATTCTACACAGCCCCAAATGGCAAACCAAATTTACTCTCGACTTCCCACTGAGTGTTGCGTAGTGGTTAAGAACATGAGCTCCTGAGATGGTGGCTTGGGTAACAACTCTGGCTTGTCTACTTCAATAGCTGCTGGGTGAACTTGGACCAGTGATGTCACTATTGTGAACCTCAGTTTCCTAAACTGTAAAGTGGGGATAGATAATTCCTAATTCCTGTGTTGTAGGGTCATTGCAAGGAATATAGGAGCCTGGCACTACTTAGTAATCAATAATTGTTAGTGGCTAATACAAGTACAATTCCTGTTTGAGTTCCAGGTTCAATCATTTGGATTTCCTCTCTACCCACAGTCTGTGGAGAAGACTTATATGTAAGTTATTGGAGGGAAAATGAAACCCTATGTTGGGGGTTCACTTATGCGGAACATCACTGGGATTTTTTTAAATGAAGAAATAGTTGCATGTGATTGCAACTGAGGAATTGTGGTAAATAATTTCTATCAGCCTATATCTTCCAAAGACAACAGAATTACCACTAATTCCAGAAGGTGGGTACTAGACTGGGGAGGTCTTGAGTCACAGCTTTCTGAGAAGCCAGCCTGGTTTCTGGTCAAACAATACTACATCCTCTACATTCAGGTATTAGAAGTTCTCAATGGTCTTCTCCATCCAGCCTCAGGCCTCTTGAAAGATGCTGCAGAAACCCTGGATCACAGCTCACACCCAAGGCTGCTGCCCATTTGTGGAATCACTGGGGAGATTGTGGGAAAGTAAGGTGTGTGTGAGTCTCACCAGTGTGGGGTGACTGGAACCAGACCACAAAGGGTTCCCTGGAAAATACATCTGCATCACCAGCTTGATAGTCATGGTAGAGGTAGCTTCTTTTCACAGATACTAACTTTTCCCTGGAATAGAAAAAAGGAAACCCACCCAGCTGAGTTGGCTTTCTTCTTCTTTCAAGAAGCAATAACATAGGTTCCCATGGCCTCATTCACCTCCCAACCCAAGAGATGGAAAGCATCTTTTGCCTGAGAACTAAGTTCAGTCAACTCTCCTCAATGGCCAGGGCCCTTTGGGAGCTGAAGATCTTAGCAGCGCTAGTTAATGAGGTGCCCACAAGCTAATGTTCACACTTAAAACAAATTACTAGTAGGAAGAAGATGAGAACATGAAGTTCTGGAGTAAGCTGTGCTGGGCAACTCAGGTTTCCACCCCTGGACCAGGACTTGACTACAAAGGATAAAGAAGTACTGGAACCCTTGGCCAGGCAGCCCCTGAGTCAACCAACAAATCAGGCATTAGGAAGCTGCTCGTGTCTTCCATTGTGAAGAGTTGATAATGTGCACCAGTCCCAGTTTCAATGGCAATTATTTTGATCAATACTGAGAACTAGTTAGAGATTGACATTTGGTTTTGAAGAAAATATATGCATTTTGATTCAATTCATAGCTATCATTTATAAGTGAACCATGTTCTAGGAAGCACAGATTATACTTACTTGTAGAGAAAGGCATACTGTTCTTTATATGTCCTTCTTCCAAGCCGAGAGCTAATCACATAGTTGTATGTTGTGCTTCTTGAATTTCTAGAAAATATAAAGATTTGACATTGCATCTTAAAAGAAAAACATTCTCCTACTGCAGAGGTTCCCCTCTCTCCAAGCTGCCTCCCTACCTCCAATGGCATCACTAAAAAGGGCTACCATTTTTAATAACCTTTGAGTCTAATAAAAAGGGCCACCAATGATTGGAAATGTTACATCTGCCAGGATCTTTACAGCCATTATTTCTTGTCCTTAGTAGTGGGTGCTATTGTTATCCCATTTTTATAATTTGCAAGTACAAAGCTGGTATTTGAATCCAGATCCTATGTGCCTCCAAATCCACATTGCTACATGCCTCATATTTTGGCCTGTACCTGTGAGACACCATTGAGACCAGAGAAGCTTCAGGCCAGAATCAGTCCCAAACCCCACTCTGGCCCATGGCTGGGGCTACAGCTCACACTTCCTGGTGGAACATCCTTATGGGATCACCCTCCATAAGGATGGATCCATGCAGCACTCCTAAGCACATCACTCCTAGTAACATTTTTGTTGGGCATTCTCTCCTGCTCTGACACCCCCCAGGCATTTTCTCACAAGCCCAGAACTATAATTTCAAATCAGCTACTGTTTGTGCTCTGGGGATACAGCCGTGAAGTCCCATGGACTCTAACCCTCCCTTATCCCAGAGAAACTTGATTCTCAGTGTGTTTGCCAAACCTGCTGATAACTTCACCCTGGGCAGAGGCTGACCTGGTTTTACTCCACCTGCTCACAGAGAAATCTAGGGCATGTCTAAGGCAAAGCATAGTCTCAGATTTGGCTGGAAAAAGCAGGACTCTTTAGGGGCCAATTTAAATTCCTGGGGCTTTAGTGGCATATTCTAAGGCAGATGGGCCTTTGGGTCCCAAGAGTATGGACAATGGATTCCTCTGGGCCTCTGGTTTGGGAAGGCTGGCCCTTTCCTAATTCTGGCCTGCCAAGTCCTGGTTTGGCAAACTGCTGGCAATAACTTAGCTGTGAAATGACTAAGGTCCCTCCTGGCTAATGTCAGATAAGGGGACAAAGAGGCCTGGCTCTGCCCTGGGTCCATAGGAAGTCTAGGGAGGTTGGGGGAAACTGAACCACTGGAGGTGGGAAGACTTGCTCCAGACTTCTGGGGGAGATGCCTGAGACACCCAGCCTCTCGGTCCCCCACACCTGTGAAAACTGACAGGAGCTCTCTAAGGACAACCGAGGGGGCTCAGAATAGAGCACTGGCTGTGGAGTCAAACATGATCATTCTTTGAGAAAGAATTGAATCATAAATATAACTCAGTGTCATTTAAAACTATTTGAGGACACTATTTTTTTAATAATTTTTAACTTGTAAAATCAATTCAGATTTTTGTAAAATATTCAAATCATACAGAAGTATATAAATAAAAAGCAAATGTTCCCCATTCCTTCACGGACATCCTTCATAACAGTCCTCCCATTACAGCCCCCCAGCCCCCAAAAGTAACCACTATCAACAGTTTGGAGCATATCCTTCCAGCCTTTCTTCTATGACCACACGAACTCAACCATACTCTTATTCCTTTATAATGTGATGTGACTACTAAAATGGATATGCCTACCTACAATTCTGAACCTTTTTTTTTTTCAATTGCAGCCATCTTTCCAAGCTGGACTATTTAGGTTTAACCTATTCTGTAGTAAACATGATGTATAGTGGCTGTATAATACTCCAGCCTATGGGCATAGCCTAATTTCCTATTGGCACTCAATCTTTCTTTATAACAGTACTTCTCACCTCAGCCTCTTGTCTGACTCTTTCATTTCTCACTTTGTCCTGGCTCCTTACCTGTTTCCTTTATTTTGCTTTATTATATTAAAGCTAGCTGATTGAAAAGTCAGGACTGTGGCTAATGGAGTTGGAAGCCCAGGCAGTGTTGGCCATGTGAACTGGTGGTCAGTGTGAGTGCCTCCTCTCCCACTAAGTTCAGTTCCTTGGGGCTTTTCAGGTGTCCTTGACCTTGATCTTGAACCCACAGAGGGTAGGGGACCCCATCTTTACCCATTCAGCTTCTCCATCAGCCTGGGACAGATCATGTTGTAGCTGTCCTTGATTTCCATCACAAGTATGATATCACAGCGTTTGATGACCTGCAGAGAAAGAATTCCCAGGTGTCTGGGGGCATTTACTACAAATAACAAAAAAAAAAAAAGCTTTCTTGGGGCACTTATTATTTTTTAACTATCAAATTGGGTGCTTTGCTAAACTAGTTAAATTCTTCCCTAAAATAAGTGAAGGATTCCATGAGGTAGATATTATTACTATGTCCATTTTAAAGACAAGAGCCTGAGGCTCCCAAATTTGAGTAAATTATCCAAAGTAACCCTGCTAGCAGATGGCCGAGGCAGAATGTGAACCTATGCAATCCAAATCCAGAGCCCACGCTCACACTCCTAACTTCCTACCTCTTGGCTTTGCTGGCATACATATAATCATCATCACCAGCAACAATAATAAATATTTATTAAGCCCTTAGTAAATGAAAAGTACCAGGCTGGATACTGAGGTATAATTACCATGATAATAATCATAAGAGCTGATATTTACTGTGAGCCTGAGCTGAGCCTCACCAACCCTATGAGACGACTATGATTACTAGCTTATTAAGCATAGGACGAAAGCAATATCAGAGTGACTGAGTGATTAGCTGAAAGGCACACAGCCAGTACAGGTGGTAGCGCCAGGATTTGAACTCAGGTCAGTGTGACTGTAAATTCCACCATGCTAAACTCTTAAAATACAACTCCTGCCCTGAAAGACTCATAGTCCAGTGAGAGAAACAAATGGAAACAACTAGCTACAATGAGAGAGAAATGAAATTTCTGCTAAACAAAGTCACAGCTATAGGAATGCTGAGGCATAATTAACTACTTGTGCCCATACATCAGGGAAAGCTCCAGGGAGGAGAGGGCATTTGAAGGCTCTGAAAGGTGGGAAGGAGCTCAGTGGGTGAAGAGTTCAGGAGAAGCTCCTTTTCCATATGATTTCTATATTTATATATATTTACAAAACTGTCATCACCAAAATGAGTTGCCCATTGGCTCCAATTATGGACTTGGAGTCAAATGGCCTTGGATTCATGTCTTGACTCTATCACTCACCAGCAGTGTGACCTTGAGCAAGCCACTTAAGCTCCGTGAACTGTTATATTCTTTATCTCTAAACTGGATGGTTGCCCCTCATGGGCATTAAATGACATAATGGATATAAAATTCTCAGTCCAGTCCACAGCACAGAGCAGATGCTCAGCAAACAATGGCAATATTATCACGCAGTTCTTGTCTTGTTTTTTTTTAACCTGATGTTACATTGTGTTTCCTCCACAGTCATTAAATACCCAGTTTTCAAATTCATTCAGGATGCATTGTTTTTTGCCCTAATTTCAGGCCAAAGGACAGGAAAAAAAAATGTTTCCCCTGGCTCCATTGCCCTAGGAGGAGGACCCCAGGAGGAGGGTCCGCAAAGGCCCTCCCAGATCTGAAACTCAGTGAGGTTTTCCTGACTCTGTTCACAGAGAGGAGGTGATTAGGGGCACTGCATGGCTAGGCGTGGGAGAATCCCAACAGGGGATATCATGAGTACTCCTGGGGAGAGGGGAAGGGCCAGTCTAGAGAAGTCTAGAAAAATCTGGGGCAGAGAGCAGTCTATGGAAGCCTCTTTCATGCCTCTAAGCAGGAAGCAGCATAGCATGGAGGGGAAAAGCCCAGATAAGGTCTGTCAGGCTTCCGTTATGACCCTCACTTTTTCCCATACTTGCTCCATGACCTTGGGCAATTTACTTCATGTCTCCAGTTACCTCATCTGTAAAATGGGCCTGCTAATTTGAGGGGTTGTCAGGCTGAACTTGGATACAGCATATTAAAGGCTGCAGACACAGTCAGCACTCCTAAATTAAGTTATTGTGTGCTATAAGCTCTGTGAAAAGGCAGACAGTGCCTCCCACATCCACCGCCTCACTCCCAGGAACTTGGGGCGCCGGGCATGTGGCTTGCCGTCACAGAGTAGTGGTTGGATGAACTAGCTCTGCTCTTAAGGACACAAACTGAAGAAGTCACAGACAGAAGGAACTTCTCCCAGGCAGGATTTGGCATCTGTAGAATTGCTCTTGGTGCTGCCAGCAAACCCAAGGTGGAGAAGGCAGGCCTCCCTCACTCCTCAACCTCCCCAATGAAGGCACAATGATGTTGGGCTCATCTTTGATATGATAAACCCAGTAGGGAAGAGTGGAAAAGGCATCTCCACTTGTATGGTTGAGTATATGGTTGGATGCTATGGAAGCCTGAATAAGTCACTTCACCATTCTGAGCATCAGTCTTCTCAGTTACAAAATGAGGGCAATGCCACCTACATCATAGTATTAAATAAGTGTGTAAAGTTCCTGGCCTATAGTAGGTGCTCAGACAAGGCACCCTGTAAATACTGCTACTCTGAGTGCCTGGGGTTTGAGTTTCACTGGAAGTGCTCTGGGTGGCTCTGTTTTCCAATGGCCTCTGTTTACAGGGTGGTTTTTGCGATGATGGGGAAGGTCAGAGGCTTCAGACATGCTCGGTGTTGGTGTGATGGGCTCTCAGACCTCCAAAATGCAGCAGAGTAAGGAAGGTGCCAGTGGTGTGCCCTGCACAATGGAATCACCAAGGAACACAAGGTCAGCCTCCTAAGGCTATGGTGACACTTCCTGGGTGGAATAAGTGAGGAGGGTGAGAGGAATTCAGCAGGGACCCAGGCTTCATGCGCCTTTGTGTGAGGAAGTGGGGAAAATAGTTTCCTCACATGTCAGAGTTTCCAGCTGAGCCAGGGAGTCACAGTTCTCACAGGCTTGGCATGACTGTCTTGGCTAAAAAATAACATCCGGAAGGCCTTGGGTACCATCCCAAGGCAGGCCTGAAAGGACCGTCTGAGGAGGAACAGAACATGCCAGTTCTTGCTCTAATCCATTTTGCCTAATAACAGCTGTGGCAGCTCTGTTTGTGATCACCTGCCATGCTGCCTTACTCACCTTGACTTTACCCAGCCAACCTGTGCTACAGGTTGTGTAAGTCCATGTTAATGAGAGGCCCTGGAGGCTCAGGGAGCAGAAGGGACTTCTCAAGCTCGCTCACCTGGTTACCAGGTGGGTTCTGAACCTGGGTGGGATCTGAATCTGCTCCTGGCATTCCCACAGTACCATGGTGCCTCCCGGGTTTTCAAAGGAAGTAACACCTAATCAGAGTCCTGGGCAAGGTTTCAGCAACCAGCATCAAAAATAAATTAACCTGTAGGGCAGCAATTTCAACCTTCTTCATTTCGTGGCACAGATAATTAATTACTAAAATTCTGCAACATACCCAAAAATATATTTTTTGCTGATCTGACAAAAAATTTTGATTTTTTTAATTTTTGATTTTTTTATTTTGATTAATTCACACCAGATAGCTATTGTTGTGTTGGCTGTTGTCAATTTTTTTTTTATCTGACAATCTAAGGGGAAAGAGGCCAGTGCCCCTGACTAAATTATCAGGTATTGCATGTTGTAAAAATTCTTGCAGCAGCCCTGACCAGCCTAGCTCAGTGGGTTGGGTGTCGTCCTGCAAAGCAGAAGGTCACCAGTTGGATTCCTGGTCAGGGCACATGGCAGGTCCTCAGGAGGTGCACATCGATGTTTCTCTCCCTGTCCATCTCCCTCCCCTCCCCCTCTCTAAAATAAACAAATAAAATCTTTAAAAAACAAATAAAAATTCTTGCAGCATACCAGTTGAAAATCGCTGCTGTAGGGTAAAGAGTGTGGGCAGAGTTCCTAGGTATTTGTTATGTTATCCAAAGTATCTGAATGGAGAAAAAGACTGGGGAAAGGTTGATGGGTCAGGGAAGGGAAGGTGGAGGAAAGGAAGAAGGGGATGGGGATAGAAAAAAGGAAGAGAGAAAGAACAAGAAAGAAAGGAAGAAAGAGAAGAATGAAGGAAGGAAAGAAAGTAAGAGGGAGAGAAAGAAAAAAGGAAGGAAGGAAGGAAGGAAGGAAGGAAGGAAGGAAGGAAGGAAGGAAGGAAGGAAGGAAAGAAAAGAAGGTGGAAAGCAAGTAAAAATCTGTGTTTCATTAAAGGTTGGGAGACCAGGCTGAGTGGGCATCCCACCCAGCCACCCACCCACCTACCTACAAGCTATACAATGTTACTTCACCTTTCAATGCTCATCATTTCTACATGGGGATTAGTATCCTCTTTCCTAAGGGTTATTAAATGAAATCCTGTATTTATGGTGCCTGACATAGATTCAATAAGTGGTAATAAGAATTATAGTAGGCTCTGGCCAGTGTGGCTCAGTCGGTTGGAGTGTCGTCTCATGAACTGAAAGGCTGTGGGTTTGATTTTCAATTACAGCACATGCCTGGATCTCAGGTTTGGTCCCTGACTGGGGCATGTATGAGGGCAACGGACCGATGTTTCTCTCCTTCTGTCTCCCTTCCCCTCTTTCTAAAATCAGTGAGCATGCCCTCAGGTGAGTATAAAAAACAACAAATTATAGTAGTAGCTAATGCTTATCCGAGCTTACTGTGAGGCAGGTCCTATGATATTTTACAAGTTTTACATATATCAGCTCATGTGTGCCTTGAAACAGCCCTATAAGGAGGTACTGTTATTGTCCCCATTTTAAGATGATGACAGAGAGGTAAAATGGCTATTATAATTATTGCTATCCTAATTGTTACAAAATTCCAAGCCAACTGCTACCTCCACCCAAGGAACTAACTTCAGGTCAGTTCCTCCTGAGTCTCTTCAAGTGTGAAGCAGTAGAGAGGGTGCAAGGGGTGTCCATCGATCCTTCGGACAGGGGAAGGGCTCACCTTCACAATGACATCCATGGCCTTCTGGTTTTCCATCTTGCTTTCCCCAAAGGACCTCACATTGAAGGAGCAGATCCTGAGGGCCAGGGCGCTGTTGATGGAGAAGAGGAGGAGCAGGGTGGCCAGCAGTCGAGACATCCTGGTGCTGCTCCTAGACTCAGTGCACAGTGTGAGGACAGCACTGTGTGCAGCGCGGGCTCCCAGCCACCTCCTCAGGTCACTTCCTCAAGCTCGGCTGACTTATATATAAGACCCACAGATAACAGGAATTACTGGATTCCCTGCTGCTACTTTCACTTCTCTGAGGAACTGAAGGTCGTGGGTTTCATTCCCGAAGGAAATGGGCCAGACTTTTAGGAGCCCCTGTTTCTGTCACTCTGATGAGGAAACTGGCCTGCCTAATTTAGGCACCGAGTCCCCTACAAAGTCATTCCTATCCCAATCAGGAGTCAGCTGTGACATCAGGTCATCTTTTCTGTGGTTGTAAAAGGTGATACCTTTTTCTGAACACTGACGAACTTACAAGTGGTCCCAGAGGGCATCTGGGGTGATGGAGCCTTCTTCGAGGGGGGACAGTGAGGCTGGGACAGTGGGAAATTCTGCTGTGTTTTCTGCCATCACCGGGATTTGGCAGCCAGCTGCTCCTTGACACACCCAGGCTCTGATTTTGTAACCACCCTGATGGGCGTAATTAAGGTCAAGTCTAATTGGAAGGACATGATTTTTTAAGGCCATTTTACTGTATATGATTTAACACACCAAATGCTAGCAGTGTGTTGCCAGGGAGAGCAAGTGCTGGTCTGCTAGAATAGGTCAATGAAATGTCCTTGGACTTTAAGGACAAAGGGCCAGTTAAAGCCCCTGGAGGGATCCATGATTCAACTGGGTACTATTTTAATGTTTGTGAGAGTCCTGTGGGCTGGAGAAAGGAAAGTTTTGAAAGAATTGTAGGATTTTAGCCCAAGTAAAATGACTTTTAGAGATCTGGGCAGGAAGACATGAAGATCAGAAAAGCAAAAGAAATATGAAGTTCAACTGAGTCATAAATCCAGGTAAAATTTGCAGACTTTGGGAAAGAAAATTCTTCTGTGAAGAGGGTACTGGGGGGTGGAGGGTACAAGGAGGGTCAATGGTAATGAAAAAGAGCACAATAAAAAATAAACAATTAAAAATAAAATACAATCTTGACTCAGACAAAGGAACTAAAAGGGGGTAGATGATGAGCATAGCCTGAAACTAGTGTGAGCATCGCTGGACCACCTCCTCTGGACGTGATGGGCTGATGGCCGTGGCCGCAGGGAATGTATGTACATTGCCAGCATACATCCAGCCAGCAGCCTGAACAAAATCTCTGACCAAGTACACCCAGGCATTCCAAGGAGACAACCCCAGTTAGTACATGGAAGGAAATCATGGTTCCCGAGCTCCTGGTGAGGTGAGTCTCCTGGGGTCTACAGCCCAGACCTAGGGCCAGGCCGAGTCTCCGGCAAGTGCAACTCTGGTCAGTGGGGTGATGACTCTCTCCCTCGGTGAACAGTGACTTTCAACCAGAGAAAAAAATTAAACGAGGCACTCATCATTTGTATCTTTGAATAAGGATTTGTACATATGTGATATTTCATAAACTTATAACATATAAGAAATTTTGGCCTATTAAGTTGACAATCTTGTAATGCTAACATAAAATGTGTCATTGAGGGGGTTACATCAATTTAGATTTGTGAACTTGGAATCTAAATTTATGCACAGTTCCAGACCATTTGTAAAAATTTTGGGTTAACATTGTTTTATATGTTTATTAGTTAGAATTATTTAGAATTAGAATTATTTAATATTTAAAAGGGTGGCTTTTTGTTAGTTCAGACAGTAAAAAAACTTTACAAGGAAATAGGGTACAATTTAAACTTTAAAAAAGTTTAAAATGTCTGTAAATGGGTCCATAACCTCTTAAAAGTAATTATGTAAGTTTGCTAGATGTAAGATTACCAGATTTAACAAATAAAAATACAGAGCACTAGGTACATTTGACTTGTAAATCATTCAGATTTAATTGGGCATCTTATATTTTATCTGGCAATCATAGCTGGACTTATAAAAAGAATAAACTGAATTTAAAAGCATGACATTTTGTAAGTCAATAACCACCTTGTTGGGGTCATGAGGAAGGTTTTATTTTAGTTCCCAGCATCCACAATAAGCTAACCTATAAGACAAGAGAGCGAACTGATCTGTTTTCGAATTATGAACTTCAATAAGTTAACTGTTAATTTCAAAAATAAAGTGAACCCCTGAAGAGTGGTTTCTGCATATAGAAACTGCCCTTGAGGACTTAAAAAAAAAATCACATGAACAGACCGAACAGATTGGCCCCATTCTGTAATTAGCACATTTGTTGCATGGAATTGGACTTTAAAAAAAGTAGCTGGATTCTGGTAGGAAAATTCTAAGTCAAATTTAACAGAATCCAAGTAGGTGCAGGGGCCTGGTGGAGGGCTTTCTGTATTGCATCTCACACAGTACTCCCTCAAGCCCTTACTGTGGTGCCTCCATTTTACAGATAAGCAAACCGAGGTTTATGCCCAAGGACGCACAGCTAACATGTGGCAGAGCTGGGGTTCCAGCCCGGTCACTGAGACTCCAGACCAGCCTTCTCCGCACCAAACCAGGCAAAGCCTTAAGAAGGAACTCTACGGGTGGGAGTGGGGAGGAGTCGAAAGGAAGACCTCCACTTTTTACTGTACATACTTTGTACAAATACTTTGGTATTTGATTATTTTTAAAAAACCCTGTACTTTTTTAGTGATTTTCAAGAAATAAGAAGTGCTAAAAGGTTTTTATTTTTTAAGCAGGTTAAACAATGTCCATGCCAACGTGTCTTTGTGTGCAGCTGAGCCATGGGCAGCTCTCATCCAGTTCTAGGAATCATTGAAAACAGGGCCATCGGAGGGCCAAGGCCGTGCTGGCCTTGGGAAAGCTGAGCCCTCCCTCATCCTTCTGCTGGGCTTTAGTGTTGAAACGGAAGAGTCTCAGACAGTGCCCTGCAGGAGCCTGGAGCCCAGAGCCCAGGAGGAAAGGCAGCCCCTGGCCTGACCCGCACGGAACACTCTGACATGTCCTTTCTTCTACCACTGACTGGCTAGCGATGGCATTTCCTGGGGCCATCCCCAGGAAGACACTTCCCAACACTGGTCTTCAGGATGCTCCTGAAAAAAGGATAACAAATATCATTCCTTTTTGGAGATTTATAATCCACATTGAAACATTAAATGATTTGAAAAGTCCTGCAATTAAAAAGCTGCTAAAATGTGTTGAAACAGGGCATCCTGAATTTATTGTCAGTAGAACCCTTTTCTTCATGTAATCCCATTTAATATCTTGAGCAATGTCCACTTTAGAAATCACAAGACTGAGTGAAAACAGTCAGATCCCTTCCAAGCCGTAAGCTCAAGTTCTTGTCAGTAAGTCCCTACCAAAGAGTCCCATGCATGTCATATGAATGGGCAGAAGTGCTGATCAGGAGTTAGGGCACACAGCCCCAAACACCACTGGCAGCCACGGCCGTCCACCATGGATCCCTGTGGGAAAGAAGTTGGTGGGGGCCAGCATGCCAGGATTCAGGACACCTGGGAATCCGAGGAAGGCGAGATGCAGATTCCAGGGGGAGTGAAAGTGCCACAAGCTGAGGTTTGGGGCAGGGAAAGTGCATTATGTAAGGTTGCGTGATTGAGACTGACTTCAGTTATTGGCTTTGACCTCACACAGCATCTTCCACATAGGCCTGTGCCTGGATCTCAGGCGGGTCACTTTCTGAAGGACAGGCCTTATTTGTGTTGCTACTCTGATTAGAACCCTTCAAAAGGTCCTTATTTGACATGAAAACCAAACTCTTTACTGTGGCCTTTACCTACCCATCTCTTCAAGGCCACATTGCTCTACTCTCCACTTCCTCCCCCACTGGGCTCCCCTCACACTGCCTAGCTTTCAGTTCCCACCCCAGAGTCTTTGCACAGCTGTTTCTTCCACCTGCAGTTCCGTTGTGTGCTCCCACCTCCAGGGCTCAGCTAAAATGTCATTCTCAGAGAAGCCTTGCCGCTGCCCTCAGCCCACCAGGCTTTTCCTTGTTTTGTCTGTCATTGTGCCTAGTTCCTCTGTTTTGTGGCAGTGCCACGATGTATTGTTACCTATGAGCTTGTGTGTTGTCTGACGTCTATCTCCCTCCCAGACAGCTCTGCGGGGCAGGGACACCTATGCGTGTGCATACTGCTTGGGACAGGTCTGGCATGTAGCGGGTGCTCAATAAATCACTGTTGAATTCCTGAGATGATGCTCTGGCTAACTCCAGAGCCCAGCTTCTCAACCACCCTGCGAGACTGCTGAGCTAGCGGGATTCAGGTCCCTGGACAACCTAAGGAAACCCCAGGCCACTGAGGCAAAAGAAGTAACAACCACTACAGAACATCTGCCTTTTGTGGAACACTGAATGCTAGTTCCCACATAATTTCCTGACTCCGGAGCACAGGATGGAGCAGCCTTCTCAACCTTGGCACTGACATTTTGGCCTAGCTAGTCTGTTGTAGTGGGCTGTCCTGTGCATTGCAGGATGTTCAGCAGCATCCCTGGCCTCTAACCACTAGATGTCATTGCACCCCCAGTTGTGACAACAAAAAATGTGTCCAGACAATGACAAATGTCCCCAAGGGATGGAAAGAACACCCCCTGTTGAAAATGCTGGTGTGGAGGTTAAGGTATACACACTTCCACTTACTGACTAGCTGATCAACCTTGGACAAGTAACTAAAGCTCTCTGTCCATTTCCTCACCTTCAAAAATGAGGATAAAAGTAGCTCTCACAGGGTAGAGCTGTGACAATTTGTTGAGTTTATAACTAAAGGGCAGACTCAGCACAGTGTCTGGCCCTTACAACTTCTCAATCAGGGTGATATTCTGCCTTTAAAATAAACTGTGTACAGAATAGGTGGCTAGCTCTGTAGCTCCATTTTACAGATGAGGACATTGAGACAAAGGTAAAGAGGTTAGGCCCCAGCTGCTGACTGTGGAGTGCTATCCAAGGCAGGAATTCAGTTTCTCGGGATCGATTCCTTTGCCAGAGCTTTTTAAATAGGTACAGAATGGCCCATTCACTCCAGACCTTATCTGGTCTACTGGAAACTCTGTGCTGGTGTTGCAATTTGTGGTTTAGCTCTTCCCAGGTGAACTAGGGTGAGGTGATACT